TTCGCACGAGGATAGGGCTGTTTCCATAATCAGATCTATAACAAAGTTAATCGTTCGGTAGACAACTCCGAATCTGTTGTGGCCGGAATGATCCTTTTTTTATATTACTTTGGGGTACCGTGCTTTGCGTCTGTGAACGAATATCTTAGTATTAGGTGAATACATTCAAGATAAGCATGAAGCCTGTGCACAAAAATATCCCATTCGTATCGGATTTCACACCCAAAGGATGTTTTTTTAATGAACTGCATGCACTTGAAATCATACACAAAATTTCTTGTTTCATATGAAATGAGGCATTAAATACATGTGCTTTCACCTTAATAACTGATTTTGTCGTGATGATGTTTCATGGTGGTTCTTGGTGCGTGATAAATAAACCCACAGTTACGAGTATTCCAGCGATCAGTGAAGTTCGCTTCACTGTATCTCGCTGTACGGTGATGATGAGTATTCCAGCCGTGAGGTTTCAGATTATGTGCGCTTCCAAGTACGGTACAAATGGCACTTTTTTAAACAACCTTAGACAACACCTTTGTGACGTGGTTGTCAAACGGTCGCTGGTTTGCTTCATGCGTAAGGTCTAATTTTCGAAATTCCCGTAGCCGCGGTGGATCGATCAATATTCCGGTGGGTTCGTTTAGCCGATTAGGAATAACGTTGCGCGTGAGATTTATTCTCAATATTCAGTTGAAGACGTAAAACCGGATAAACAGTTGTGGAATAGTGGAATGGTTCTAGGTAAAGATTGTTTGAATTTCTGTACTTGTGCAGAACACAATAAAATGGAGGATGACAGTCGGATGTTATTAACCCTGCGAGTGCATTGCATTGTTGGTCACTCATCTGTTATGTCTCGGAAACTGTTTGACCAACATGGTACGTTGACTGGTCACTTGTGACATTACGACCTAAGCAGTCACGTGGCACGGTTATACGAACAGCGCTCGCTGATCGGTGCAAATGCATGATTGAACGCCTACGCGTTCGATACAAATGTCGAGGCCAACATCTAGTACACGATGTGCTTTCAACCCCCTCTCCTCTCCTGCACTGTCTCGCCAACGCATACACGTGGCACTGTGCTGTTTGTTACAATTCTGTATTGCCCTCCTCTTTATTAGCCTCGTAACCAGATTTAACCTTTAAACGGAGCAAAATCAATTTTATCCTGGATTACGTATCTAGAAAATGTGTCAGCACACCCCTAACAGAACAAATAAAGAATCGCCTCAGATACAACTACTGTTGCTGTGATCTGATCATCATCAAACGTATGCTTTTTATTTAGAATACTCAACCTCAAATCATGGATCCTGATACTAGCTTCTCGGTTCACACTTTCTATCCACAAACAAATTGACCGTATACCTTTATTTCATTTCTGATTTGCCTGGTTCAACACTTATGTTCACGTTTGGATATTTATTTTCATGAGGAAATAGTCGGTCTTTGAAGATGTACCTTTTACTTTTTTACGGCTGGCTCCTTGGAAAGGTTAAGCCGACTCCAGACATGATCCTGACGTTACTTGTGGGTTTGGTACGATAGACGTCCCCAGCGTTGTTTATTTTGAGGGCGCATCTCTAGTCTTCGCACAACCAAGTGCGAACTGCAAGGCAGCAGGAAGTAATCCCTCGCTTCGGAAGTGAGGAGGGGTGTCAATGACTTTAGTTTTAAAAGGCCAGTCGCATCGACCTTTGTCAGGATACCGTCAGTGGGGTTATGCGGCTTTATAAGAACAGGAGCCAGGTGACCAGGGTGAAACCCATCACACTGGCAGTGCCGCCCGGGGACGCGCCTGATAACGTTCAGCTCTGCTTAACCCGAGGATATGGGCTCCACATCTGGTTTTCATCACACCCTTGAATGTTCCATGGAAAAGGAGAAAATCCCACGCGCATCTTGATCAATACCCTACTGATCCCCCGCAAACTAATCTGTTTCGGCGTACCACAATTGTTCTTTCGAAATCGGACACCACTGCAACGTCCTTATCAATTTTGTCTCGCACGGGTTGCCTGTGGTTGGACCCGCATTCGATTGCAGTTCCCATCTCGGTGTTCTCTTCTGTTGTTACATATTGAATGGTTTTGAATTCACCAATTGATCCTAGTTTAGTTTGTCCACTCTTTTAAAACTGAAGTCTTTCTGTGTCTTGGCTTGTTCCGGTATCTGTCTGATCGATGTTGCACACAGCTGTGCGTTGACTAACTCGAAGCAACAGTCAGACCTGTTGGGCGGTGCAAGAAAAATCTGTGCATACGGTGTGTGTGTGTGTGTGTGTGTGTGTGTGTGTGTGTGTGTGTGTGTGTGNTACGTGACTACACAGTAGCTCTGACTCATTGACTCCGTTTTCTAATGATTTGTACTGGCCGTTGAACACGTGTGATTATCACATTATTGTTGCACGTATGTGGCAGTGACTTGATCAAATGGATAATTTTGAGCGGAAAATTGATCAAACTGAAATTTCCACTATGGGTTACCCGAAAATTTACGTTCCATGTCACTGTCTGATATATGCAGTAAGATGCCAGCAGTCTTGGGCATTATTGGTTTCGCTTTATCCCGTTCGAGGAAAGGCTGCTTCGCAGATAATCTGTCGTTTTGTCGTCAGTGTTAATTGGTTGATGTTTACACTGGCTTATCCTGGTCTGTGGTTTGATCGATTCTCTTTGAAAATGTTTGTTGGTTATCTGTCTTTCATATCTATTGTCCTCGCCCGATCGTCATGTAACCGTCGTTGACGTATCATTTAGCGATTCGTGTATGTGAACTCCTATTTTGTGATCGTTTAGTTGTGGTCAAGCGCTTGAAGTCACTGTCACCAGCTTGCATTGCACCCGAGATTCGAATCCCATCACCACTACCCGACTTTGGTGGTAGGCAGCGTGACTGTCGTCCGATTCAGTACCCCCAGTCGCATGTAGTGCGGCCTTATGTGGCTCACCACTCCAAGTCCCGGGGCTTCAGTAAACGGTCTCCATGACTGAACAATAGGTCCTCTTGACTATTCGGTTCACATGGGGTGTGTGTTGGATGGAGTATTGTATTCAAAATATTTCTTTATCTGACTTTTTTGCATTACCCGGGGTCAGTAAAGCAATTTTTCCTACGGCGTTCAATGATTTTGGCCAGTTTTGTTTGGTTGTACCGCGCCTTGTTGAATACTGCGGCACACAATGTTTCTCATCCTTGTGCATTCTCTATATCCATATCCTATGCCCTATGAAGTATAATTGTAAGGACAAGACGATTTGATTAATTTACTTTTTGGAGCTGCTATTCTTGAATTGATTTTCACGGATTTTGAAGGAAGCAAGTAATTGCAATCAGTTATTGTGACATATTTCGTTGACCAAACAAACAATTGAGTGCAATCACATTCAATATCCGTGATTCACACTGTCACGCGCTTTGGTGGTAGACAGCTTTGCTGTCGTCCGGTTCAATTCCACACCTAATCTATCGGGGCCTTATGTGGTTCGCCACTCCAAGTCCCGCGAGGCTTAGGTTACCGGTTTCCGTGACGGAGCAGCAGGTCTTCGTGACTATGGGGTTCACCACGTCTGCTGTTCACCACACTAATGTGTGTGATTAAAAAAATTGGCAAAATTCCGAGCTCCTTTTCAAATACCTCAGCTATTATCTTGTTCGCTTACCGCTGGGAGATAATTCGCTATACTGTTCAAATCTTGGCATTTCGAGCTCGTAGGGAGCCAACTGTGAAGGTGGACTAGAACTTTGGACGTTCTTAATTTGCGGACTTGTTGAATCAAACATCTCCAAGGTAAATCACATAATTGTCTGTTATTAAAACATTTCTATTTTTGTCGGATGACGGGCTTTATTCGAGTATTCACTTTTGCGTATGCACATTTTTGTGTGATATTGCTTGTCGACTATGTCACCCGGGAATCCGGGAGCGCAGCAATTCTATCTTGGTCCAGGTCACCTCATTGCTTGTTGTGCTGGGCTGTTCTTCTCAGCATCATGTGCACCAAGAAACTGCTTTGTCTAATTAAACCCTGGTACACCGGTCTCCCCTGTTTGCCTCTCTTTATCACAGATTACTATCAATGGGTCTCTCTGGTGCTGGCATTACAAGCTATTCTGTGCTACGTCCCCCGTCTCATCTGGGACACAATCACATTCAATCGAGTCGGTACCAATCTGGGCTTCCTGATCGAATCTGCTCAGGCCGCGTCGAAAGATACCGGTCCGGAACGAAACAATCGCGTCCAATTTGTGGCCAGTGTAATGGACACGCTTCTGTTCGCACGACGCAATCTGCGCAAATGTCCCACCGATTCGGCTACACGGAACCCGTTGGTTCGTTACGGGCATATTCTGCGGGATTTGTTTCCTCGTAAACGACTGGGTACCGCCCTGGCCAGTTACTATATGTTCGTCAAATGTCTGTATTTGGCCAATGCGGTTGGTCAGTTATTGTTAATGCAACGTTTTCTTGGGGTGCGGGGTGAGTATCAACTGTTTGGTCTGAGCATCCTGAATGATTTGTTGATGGGACGACATTGGAACGAGACGAGTGTGTTTCCTCGCGTGGGATTCTGTCGCGTTCCGATTAAACTGACCAGTACACCGATTCCCATGGTCACAGTTCAGTGCACTCTACCGGTGAACATGCTAAACGAAAAGGTGTACGTGTTCCTTTGGTTCTGGTTCGTTTTTGTGGCCTCACTCGAAGTAGCAAGTATAATGGTGTGGATCTACCGACTGGCTGCTCGCCAGTCTCGTCTACGAACGTTGGTACGCTATTTGAGAGTTGCCGACGCCTATGATGAGGGCATGGACCCGTTGCTAACTCGGTTCGAAATGACGTTTCTACGTCTGGATGGGAGTTTCATCCTCCAGATGATGCGCCTTAATGCCGGAAGTCTGATTACTCAGGAAATTTTACAGGCTATGCTGAAACGATACACCGAACAAGAAGAATATGCATTAGCCCAACAGAAACGCAAGGAACGTCAACAGCGAGAACAGTTCGCGTCTCAAAACGGTCCGGAAAAATTGCAATCAGAAAAACGTGGATTGTTGGAGGCGGATACAAACGAGTGCACGGTCAGCAAGCGTTCGGATCCTGTCTGAGTGTTCGGCCGGTGACCGCGCCCAGCCTGCCGTTGTATTCATTAG